GGGAAGGGAAGGGAAGGGAAGGGAAGGGAAGGGAAGGGAAGGGAATCTAGTCATTCACAGCTTCCTGGCACCTACCTACTACTCATTAACTACTGATCAAACAGGGCCATCGATAACAATCTCTTGGCAGTTCTTGGACTGGGAGGAGAATCAGTAGCTGAGAGACTAGAAAGCATAGTGTGGTAAGAGTGAGGAAGTGAGAGAGACAGAGGGCAAACCATTTTTCCTAAAGAAATTTTTGAGAGACTGAGTTCTTGCAGTTCAAGAGAAGCCTGTGCCCCATCCCCAAGGACCTGACCCAACCTACCTGAGTTTATGAAGTCAAGGTTCCAGGGGCGGTGGTGTACTGCAGGGCAAGCTGTGGTTCCATGTAATTGGCGAGAAGCTGGGTCCGCGTGTACACCCTCAGGCAAGGGGTCTATGTCAGGCCTCAGCTTACAAAGGAAAGGTGAAATGGGAGCCACAAACATAGACCTCCAGGACCTCAGAGAGCTGCCCCAAGCAACAGCCAAAGAGAGGGTCTCTGAGAGACTTGGTGCCCAAAGAAGAAAGCCTTTGCCACTCTCTCTCCCACTGAGACCTCTTTTCGGGGGAGCATCTTAAAGGACATTTCTCCCTTGGTTTAGGTAGAAGGAAGCACACAACAACCCCTTCCCTCAGAAACACTGCTCCCAATCTCTCTTCCCCACTCTCAATACAGCTGGAGGCGGTTTGGGGCTAGATTCCAAGAGGCGTTCTTTTAGCAGCCCAGGGAGTGAGGACAGCACCTCTATTTATTTAGAATGTGAAGGAATCTGTTACCCATTGCCTACAACTTTGCAGCTTCCAGTGATTCGAGTGGAGGAGCTTATTCAATATTCCAACACAACAGTAATAATAATAACAATCATCATCATCATCATGAAAGACTGAGGGAACAGAGGGAGATGAGAGATGAGGGTAGGTGAGCATAGTAGAAATTTAAAATAATACCTAATATTTTAGGTTAAGAAATACAGCCAGGCATGGTGGTACATGCCTATAAATCCAGTTACTTGGGAGGCTGAGGCAGGAGGATTATAAGTTCTAGGTCAGCCTAAGCAACTTAGTAAGACCTTGTCTCAAAATAAAAATTTAAAAGGCCTGGGGATATAGCTCCCACTTGCCTAGGATGGGGTTCAAGCCTCAAAACTGAAAGAAAAGAAAAAGAAAGACAAGAAGAAAGAATAAAAGACAGAGGGAGGAAGCAAGAAAGGAAGGTGAGAGAGAGAAGGAAAGAAAAGAGTGAAAGACAAAAGAAAGAAAGAAAGAAAGAAAGGAAAGAAAGAAAGAAAGAAAGAAAGAAAAGAAGGAAGAAAAGAAGAAAAAGAATATGCCATATTATGATGTTTATAAGGAGATAATCAATGAAGAATTAAATAAAAAATACATCAAAGAAGGAGCCAGGGGAGGATAATGACAACATTAACCACCACAAATTCTTCTGTACTATTACTCTGATAGACATTTAAAACAAAGTATCTGAGAAGATAAATTATTACTCAGTCTTTTATTCTTGCATCCTGATACATAGTAGGTACTCAATGCATATTTGAGGAAGCGTTGACCAAACCAATGAAATATGCCAAATAAGAGTGAGTGTTTGATCAGCTCCCGGCTGCATAGGCCACGGGCCTCTGCCCCTCAATGCTGAGCCCTGCCTTCTCAGGTGAGATTACCTGTACACTCAGCCCCAGAAGCTTATTCCGACCCTGGGCTCTTACAAGCCTAGAAGAACAACTCTGAATGTTCTGTGAGGTCAAACAGAGCATATCTCCTTGCTGATCACATCACATAATTTCCCAATATCACACAAGTCAGTTTCATGATTCATTCTGGGTGTAGACAAGGTGCCCAGCTGGACAGCAGTACTCAGAGTGTTACACATGAGAATCTATCCACAGGGACATCTTTACAGGACAGTCAAAAAACTCATTGTCATTTGGAACTGTCTAGCAACTTTACCTCATGGCCTAATCCCTAGAGAGAATCAAATACCTACAAAGGATGGCAGCACCTGGCAACTTCCTAAACATGACCTGCCCCCACCCACCCATGGTGACTGGCCATTTTTCCACAGGTGATTTTCCTAAGGATTCCCAGGAGAAAATATTGATAGGATAAAATCTTCCTCAAAGGAGCAGTGGGAAAATCCTCTTAAGGACCTGCACACTCCTGACAAGTCATATTCTTATTTTTCTCTTCAGCAGTTTCAGGAAGCCGTTAGCTTATAAACAACTGTTCCAACATGGTGATTCTCAGTATCTATGGGATAAGAACTATCTGGATATTCAAATATACAAAATTTAAAATTTAATAGTAAAATGATTTTTGCAATGATATGATAACCATTGACTTTGAGTTTACATATTTTAGTTAAAAGTAGATGCTGTGCAAATTATTTAAAGGTTCACAATATCTAGATTGGGTTAGTTGTTAAAAAATGTGAAAAACGCTAGTTTGATAGATTCCCTCTGGGACAGGCTCCCAACATGAGGTCACCATCTGTCCATGAGATCATTATCCCAATGAGTCATTGGCCCTGAGCAAAATGGGGTTGGAAGTAGATCCTTATAGGCTCTCTGTGTCAGAAATACCCTGCACTCTCTTTCAAGTGAAGTGGAGCCAGATTCTGGGTCCTCCCGGGTCCAGGACCTGCCTTGGACGCAGTTCTACTGCAAAGCGATTCTACTACCCAGAAACATTTCTGTCTGCTCTCCTGCTTTCCCACCCACATCCTCCTCCCCACCTCATCTAGGGATGCTCCAAGGATCTAGGGGTGGCAATGTCAAAATTCAGACGAGGGCAATGCACTATTGGCCACTAGGCACTCCTTGCCATGATCAAAGAATAATTTTAAAGGGTTCACCTGGTGAGAAAGAATCTAGTAGTGAAAACCCAAGCATTCAAGGCACACCTCCCACCACAGATTCAAGCTGCAGTCCTTGTACTCACTGTCTCAAGCTCGTGCCAGAGTAATCACAAGTCTGTGGTCCGCTCCAGGGATTTGCAAAGTGGAGGCTGCCGGACACACCTTCTGATTTGGCTTTTTGATAATATCAGGACACATGCACACTGTTCGTCTAATAAGATCTTATGGTTATCAAGGGTGTCTGGACACAGATTGGGAAAGTCAGCCTTGCTGAATTTCCAATGGGGTCGTATCCTGCTGGCCTTGGTTGTCACAAATCAGCTTTAGTCAAAGATAAGTAAAACCAGGCAGTCTCAAGATACTGTTGATTATATGGACTCCTGTCATTTTTAGTGCAGTTGTGGTATCATGCAGCACTGCCGGAAAACTGAACTGAGCTCCCATCAGGGTCCGGGAGATCACAGCCCTTTGTCACACAAAGGACTCACTCCGACAGCCTAGGCGACATCTGCGTATTGATTAGCTGTGCCGGTGTCCCTCCTGGGGTGAGAGGACAGCGGGTCATTTGAATCATCTCCTTTCCATTCTTCCTCTTCCATCTGTATTTCCTGAAGCTCACAAAACCACAAAGAGGAGACCCCACTAATGGTTTGGGGTACAACAATTACTGTTGTTTCCACAGCAGGATAACACGGATTCGACTTCAAAGAAACGGTACCCCTTGCTGGTTAATGTCAGCTCAGTGGAGGAGCCAAAAGGAAGGACAGCGAGTTGTACAAGACAGAGGGCCCTAGCTCTGCTTTTGTTAGTTTTTTGGCCACCGTGATTTACAGCGGGACAAAATGAGCATCATTCCGTCTTCAGTGATGAGCCATTTATGGAAGACTCCAAGCACTTGCCTATTTTATTGCCACACTACCCAGAAAGAAGGTCCTCTGAACGTCCTCTGCACCGAAGATGTCTCTCCTTATCTGAACCGGATGCTGAAAACAGTTTTTGAAGCTATTTCTGAGATTCATCAGTTGCTCCCAGGGGTAAGGGTTCCGACCGCGGACTGTAGTGGTTCTGCCTCACCAGCAGAGGGCAGCCTGTGGTCACTTTTGCCTCTTCTCAGGGCTGGCTGGACCTGGCTTCGGATTTGAGCAGAACCAAGGCTCAAGTACAGTAGTATACAATTGGGTTCTTGTTTGTGCTTTTGTAAAATAATGCCTCTTAGGATGATGTCAGTCTTTCACTGTGCATAATTATTTTGTTTTGGACAGCATCCTTTGACCCATGCTATGGTGAATCCTAACAGAGATAATTCTCTGACCATAGTGCTTTCCTTATGACAGCTGCTCATGTTTGCAAACTGCTTGCTTCAAAACAATGCACTGTTCAGACTCGATGATTACGGGATGCAGAGGAGGACAAGGAGAGAGAAGAGACTCTCACCAGCCCATCGGGATCGTTCCACTGACAAGATCGCTGTAACTATGATTTTCCCATCCGAAGGCCCAAACCCACCAACATCCCATCTGCTGCTGTAGCGCGTGTCTCCCCACGCATCTTCCAATGGGAGAAAAATAAGACTCGCAACTGTGTGTCATAGAAAACCTTCAGCTGCGTTCATGGGGCGGTTAGGCTTGGTCATTCTTGTAACAGAAATCTCAATTCACAAGCGGATCTTTAGCGATGGACCTAAATTTTCTTTTTTTTTTTTTTTTTTTTTTTTTTTTTGGTTTTTCTCCGGTACTGGGAACCGAACTCACGACCTTGCGCTTGCCAGGCAGGCGCTTTGCCGCTGAGCTAAATCCGCAGCCCCAGGACCTAAATTTTCTTTGTGTGAAGTTTATTGGTCCATTGATCTAGATGGCCGTTCCTCTTCTTGCCCCAACAATCATTTCCTTCTTTGACAGCTCTCCTAAATCTCCCGCATCACAACACCATCCATTTGGGTAGCCTGTTTCCTACGCAGTCCTTTGCATTTTGCGTTAATGCTTCCACTGCATTATCTCATTAGAATCTCATACTGCAAAGATAAGGTAAGTCAAGAAGGTATTAATGAGTTTTCTCCATGACTCTAAGCAAAAGAGTTGCTCTCTCTTCCGTGCTCCCATATTTTGCATATCCTTTCATTATGGGTATTTGTGCTGCATTGTATTTACTCTACCAAGCTCTACCACTATGTGTTCCCCTAAGGCACACAGACACCAGAGCTAACTCAGCAGCTGAGCTCTATCTTAACAGCTGTATATCCCCAAAGCTTCATAAAGTTCTAGAAATACAGCATTTATTTTTAAAATATTTTTAGCACATGCTTGCAGTGCATCATGATCACATTGATCATGGGGAGTTAGTACAAGTTCACAATACATCAGAATTTTTTCTCTTTTATTGTCACCTACGCATCCCCTACTCATCCCCCCCTCCTCCTTCCAACTTTTGTCCCCTTCCCATTTGCAAAAGCTCTATTTTCATTTTCTTTCCTAATTTTTTTTTCTATCCCCTTTTCCTTCCCTCCGTCTCCCCTCCCTTCATCTCTTGTTCCCCCATCCATTTGAAAACATCTCCCTACTTCCTGTTTCTGTCTTCTATATATAGTTTCATATATAGATAGATACATAGATAGATAGATAGATAGAGAGAGAGAGAGAGAGAGAGAGTTTCTCATATAAGAGAAGCCATGCAATATTTAAGTTTGCATGGCTGACTTACTTCAGTTAATATTATGGTCTCAATGTGCATCCATTCACCTATGAATGCCTCAATCATCTTTGAATGCCTCAGCTTCATGCCTCAGCATTATCTTTTTAGGGCAGAATAGTACTCTAGTGTGTATAAACACATTTTGTTTATCTAGTCATCTGTTGATTGGCATATAGGCCATTTCTAAGATTTAGCTATTATAAATTGTGCTACATAAACATGGATATGCATATATCTCTGTAATATGATGTCTTTAACTCTTGAAAGACAGTATTTACCAAATATTTGATAATTTAGATTACTACACCCATTTGACAGATAAGGTAATCAAGGTGCTCAAAAGGGCTAACTAATACTAATACTATAGCCACTGTTTGAAGTGAATAATGGAAGAACACTGGGATAGCTTCTGTGGGCTCCAACTAGAAGAAAAAACCAAGAACACACATTGCATTCTGACCCTGGAACAAGCATCCTGATAAATGCAGTAAAGAAATATAAACATGAAATAAGACATGATCTAAAAGTCTGGATTCTCATACAGTGACTGGTGGGGTCCTTTATTTTTTCTGGGTTTCAGTTCTGACTCCTTCAGACTAAGCAGGCTGGAAGATAAGATCTCTATTGTGTGGTCTCATCTATATGCTCTTTGGGGAAACACACACGTATATTTGCATGCTATACACAAGCCAACACACGCATTTCATACAAGATTAAGAAAACAATATGCCATACTTACAAAAGGAATCAACGTCAACAGAGCGACCCAGATACACCCTGGCAAAAAGGCTAGAGGAGGTGAGAACATCAAGAGCAGAGGAGTTAGACACAATTTATAGAAGGGGAAACGAGAGCTAAGCCTAGGGTTAAAACAGGTATAGTCAAGGAGCTGAAGGGTGTGTAAATGAGCGGGTGCGCTGCACACGTCACGCATACTCAGAGGACAATAAGGTCAGAAAGCAGGCAACCTGGTCAACGCCTGTTTATGAGAGAGGTTTATATTTGAAAAGGGGCAGGCTTGGGGAAGCTGTCTCCATTCAGTCCAATGTCATCTGAACTCCACTCCCACTTAATTTCTTTCTACTGCTGAGTCCCCAGTCTAAGTCTGGCTTTCCCCCATTGTACAGTCCCACAGCGGTCTGAACTCCTCCACAGCAAAAGCCTTCACTGTAAGTGCATGCGCGCTGTCACTTGTCTCTTCCCTTTATTCCCCACAAGGCTAGAAGGTCTTTGGAAGAAAGACTTTTATCCATCCTCTTTACTGCTGAATCCCCGCGCCTGGCTATATGTTCAGTGTTTGGTGAATGTCCAGTGAGCTTGTAAATGAGAACAGGCAGAGCCTGGGAAGGAGCCCTGCGCTGGCGGCCGCCTTCCAGGCCCCTGTTGCTCTTGCTGCGGCTGATTCAGCAGCTTAACCCTGAGTCAAGTGAGGACATAAGTGACAGGTGCAGATGCAGCCCAGCCTGAAAATCTGGACCTTGGCTGCTGGGAGTCAGAGGGCAAGAATGTCCTATTTCCATTTGCGAAATACAACCACGAACTCTCATCAGCCCACCCTGTGTTTGGAGTGAAACCACGCGTCCCCTCCCCACTTCCTCTCAGTCAAAACAGAAGACGCATTTCTTTCCCAACAAACTTGCAGTGAGCTTCCGCCTCTCTCCCCGCCTTCCACTCCGGCTCCTGACGGAAAACCTTGCACACAGTTGCACCCAGGCCCCCACCTGCGGTCTGCTCTGGCTATTTCTATTCCTAAAGTACTGAGGCCATGACTCTCAGAAAGGACAGGTCACCTGGTGAAGGTACGCAGCCAAAAAAAACCCTTAAAAGGCATCTACAGAGCAAAGCTCTTTTTCACACCAGCCATTCATATTGGGGTGCTTTCCATTAACGGGGTGCTGCTATGTGCTCCCCTTCTGTTATTCTTGTTCGTCCCCACACCAGCCCTACAAGACAGGTATGTCATGCATTCCAGTTGACAGCAGGCCCCACGTGACAGATTCGTCGCATAAACAAGCTTAGTGTCACCCAGCTTGAAGTCACAGACCAGGATTCCAATTCAGGACCAAATCTGACCCCATCGGCCGAACTCTTTCTCCTACATGTTCATCCCATGGTTATTGAGGGAATATTTTTTTCCTCTTCTCTCAGATGCCCCGTTATTCAGTGATACACTCCTGAACAACAGGGCCACGGGGAAAGAGAGCTGGTCCACGGTCTATGCAAGAAATTTCAGCTGGAGGGGCACAACTTCAGAGAAACTTCAGACGAAGCCTCCAGCACCTCACATCCCCCTCCCACTTCCAAGGTACATCCATAGCAGAGCCTGGACCCTCCCTGCTCAGCACCCCCACCCAGGCCTTGCCTCCTACAGCCCAAACTCTCCTCCTCCCAGTCATTCTGCCGCTCAACTTGAGCTCAGCTGCTTTCCCAGGGGGTGCGGCTGAAAAACACAGTGACTGTGGCTAGCACAGCACCCACCACACACAGACAGAATCCCTTTAAATTTCAAGTACATCTCATTCCAGCCAAATCTGCAGGAGCCAGTTCTGTCAATTCTGTAATAACAGCTTATGTTTGACTTCCTAGTGTGATCGCCAGACACAGCTGCTTTGGGTCAGTATTTCTCCAGTCGTGAGGACTGATAGAGCTTTTATGGCCAGGGAGTCTCTCTACTTGGGGCTTAGGTGCATGCAGTTATCACAGAAAGAGATTAGGAGCAAGAAGCTCAGAGCACAGTGGCTGTAGGTAGGGAAGTTTCGTTTAATTTAGCTTTGTTTTGTTTTTGCTTTGTTTTGTTTTCCTGGTGCTGGGGCTGGAACTCAGGGCCTCATACATGCTAATCACGTGTTCGACCTCTGGGCTAAATGCTGAGCCCTACATGTGCACCTCCTGACCTTGTCCTGGCCCTTCGCTCTGAAGCTGGAAGTTTGGGGATAGTTGCTGGGTGTGGAGCACCTGTTATAAGTATTACCTGCACTTTTCTCATTTGATTTGTAAAACCATCCCATGAACTAGACTGCAAAGCACTAGATTTACAGATAAAATGAGACTCAGAGAAACAAGAAAAACTTCCTATAAGCTACAAAGGATTTGGGGGTCAGTGCATTTGCTATTACCTTCCCACACAATACTGGATAGATCGATCCAGGAACCATTTACATGCAGCAGAGAGTAGAGACTGCATGTGATGTACAAGTAAACGCTTATATTCTAATCTACAATTAGAGCTCTGCTCCCGAGTCTGAGCGTTTTTGCTGTATAATTGTGTCCACAATCCAGTTTGATTTGCTATTGGGATTATTTATTCTTTGCCTTAGAATTGTTTCGACTCGTTGTATCAACCAAATCTACAAATGGCAAATTATATTGATCAAGTTGAAGAGATACAGCACAAAACAAATCTTTTAATGTACAGTCAAACTTCCCGAAACTATTGACAATTTTTTCCAACATCTTTTAATAATCACAGGTCTACTCTGGCTTTTGAATTGCCTAAGCTTTGGGTAGTGAAATCACAGCATGTTATTTTAATCTCTTTATAATGAACTAGAGTTCAATTCCAATAAGCATGTCTCCTGAGTGCTCATAGTAGGAGGCAGGAAATTATGGGAAGTAGGTCTCACAGCCACATGGGTCCCCCAGAAGCCTGCACCACACTCTCCGTCTAAAACCACCCCGGCTTGTGGACCTACTGCTCTTGTCTCTAAACCATGGCTCCCAAAACATGGTCTCCGGAGCACAGCAGGAGCACCCCTCGGAAACTGCTAGAAATGCAAGTTCTTAGGCCTTTGCTCAGAGCAAACCTTGGGTCCATATCAACCGAAACAGAGGCTGCCTGTAGTAGCCCCCGAATAAAAGTCTGCAGTTGTCAGTAAGTAGCACAGGTAGAGGGGACTGAAGTGTTATGGGAGAATGGGTGTCAAGGGGAATGAAATGGACCCTGGATTCCGTCCCCTTCACATTTGCGCAGGGCCACTTCTCTTCTCCAGCGCAGTGGTTCTCTAACTTGAGTGGGCAGCTGAATCATCCCTGAAAACACAGACTTCCGGGCTCTAACTCCAGAGTTTCTGATTGGGCAGGTCTGGCTCAGGGCCACAAAGGCGCAGTGTAACAAATTCCCAAGCAACGCTGATGCTGCCAGTGCGAGGATCTCACTTAGAAACCTGAGCCTGCCAGGTAAGACAGGTCTGTCCCCACGGTCAGCCTCTTCCTGCCCTTGGAAGGTATTTTTGAAGTCTTCTCTCTAAACTTCTCAGAACTTGGTTTAAAATATTGCCAAAGGGCTAGTCCAAAGTAATATTGGAGAATGAATTTCTTTTTCCT